CGGCGCAACGCGACCCAAGCGTACGTGTGTGCATACGTGCGCCATATACACACGCGCGCTCGCGCGCGACTATATACGTCCCCTCCCGTCGCCCGACCGCGTCCCTCGTCTATGTGCCCGCCCTTCGCGGCCGGTACACACGCTTCGCGTCTCATACGGCTTTACACGGTCGTTCGTTCGACGACGAGAAGATAGAAAGAGAGAAGCTCCCTCGATAGCACGGTAGCCGCGCGCTCCGCTATTCGGGTTTTCCTGCGTCAGGGGAAGTGCGAGAAGGGTAAAGGGAAGGGAGAGGGAACCCACTTCTGCCTCTATCTTTCTTCTCGACATGGAGAAAGGGTGGGGGGAGGAGGGCGACAGCTCTCTCACCGAGAGAAACACCGGAGACTTTACACAACGCGATCTCCTCCAGGGGAGGAGAATGGGGGAGAGGAGAGGGAGAGTCCGAATGCGGCCGATGGGTTCGTCGGTAATGCCCGCCTTCGCGACACGTCGAGGGGAAACCGGAGTGGGCTGTACCAAGCGTTGATTGGACGCGCGTAAGGAGTGGGGTTCGGGACATCGGTGGCGCCTTATGGGCTCGACCAATCGGCCGTTCTCGCCGGGAGTTTTTTATCCCGTTATTTACGCCGAGGACGGGAGAAGACGGTTCCCCATATACCCCCGCCAAACCCGCGGATCGTGGCATCTCGCTCGCACCAGAGCGGTGAGCATTCTCCATCCTGTTCGCGCGTGCTCTCCCTGTGCGCCCGTCCGCGCAGGAGAGGACACTCTCGTTTCGGGATCCGTTGAGGCAACACGCGTTTCTCTCGCCACAGGACAGGATAGGAAAAAAAAGGTGTCGAGGATTGAGTGCTCGGTGCGCGTGTGTTCTGCACTTGACGCTCTCGTGTTTTCCGAAAATTAGTGAAACGGCGTGCTTGCTTTCGCTCGTTTTCGAACGTCAGTGTTCGAACCGCCCGCAGCGATACACAGCGCCTTACTACGAACCGCCGTGCGCAGTGGTGTGTATGCGTTTGTATGTGTGTATGTGTGTATATGTGTGAGTGTGTGTGTATGTGTATGTGGTGCGCGCGCGCGTGCACGTCGAATACAGTGGACTGTATACATGTGTATGTGACAGAACGTCGCAGGAGAATGCGGTGTTGCCGGATGTCGTAAGCGCGAATACGCGTACGTAGTGTACGGTGCGGCGCGAGGCCGCCGGAAAGAGGAACAGAGACGCGCGAAGTTTCGACTGAAAGGAAGAGAGAGCGTGCGGCGGCGTCGTCGTCGTCGTCGTCGTCGTCGTCGTCGTCATCGTCATCGTCGTCGTCAATCGATCGATTTCAACTCGTTCGTCGGAGGTAGAGAATCGCGAACTGTTGGCGTTGCTGCCGTACAAACGGCGGCGTCGTCACGTCGCGTACCAACTCTCACGATCATCGTCATTGCGGTGGTACGCCACAGTGACATTTGCGGTGCTATCGATGAAACAGACTTGGCAACATCGCACCGACTGCCCCTCGCACACAAACGCGCGCGCATACACGTACCTAGAAGGGAACTTGGGGTGGCTGGTTGGCTGGCTCGCTGGCTGGCAGGCAAGCAGGCAGGCAGGCAGGCAGGCAGGCAGGCAGGCAGGCAGGCTAGCAAACAGGGCAGGCAAGCTAGAGGCTTTCTTGTTCCGAGGACGGTGCTCTTGGTCGCGCCGTCTCTCTTTTCTACCTCCATTGCGCTTCCTCACCCCCGACCCTTTGCCTCTTCTCGTCCTCGATCAACTCAATCGTGCTCTCGTTCTCTCCCTCCCTCTCTCTTCGGGCTTCTCTCTTTCTCTCTCTCTCTCTCTCTCGCACTCATGCCGCACGTACCGTTGAGAGCCTCTCCCTTCCCCTGCCGTACTCTTTCTCTGCCTCTCTATCCCCTCTCCTCTCCTTACCTCGAACGGATCGGGCGAGTCCACTAGGCTTGCGAGGGGAGTTCGGCAGACCTCGTCTCTAGTCGGCCTCGATCCGTAGAGTGCGTCAGACGCCGTGAGTCGACCGCTCCGGTACACGGATATTCGCGAACCGTAGCATACGTGGGTACGTCGTGGGGCCCGCGAATGTCATTGCGCGTTACCTGCGCATAACCGTGGCCCGCGGCAACTCGTATTGCGGCCAGTTTACACGTTCAGCCTGGGACGCACTCGACCAGCGTATATCCGTACGACGGCCATGTTTGGTGTTTACGACGTGAGGGGGAGTCGCTGACGTCACGTACGAGCGAGCGATCCGATCTTACCCGAACGGCACAGCGACTACGGACGACGGGTGGCAGCAGCGACAGGCAAACGACGACAACGACGACGACGAGGAGGAAAAACGTGCGTCGCTCCACGCCGGTAGCTTACCGTTGCGGCTGCGCGCTTGCGTTCGCTCAACCAGCAAAACTCACCGTTGAATAACAAGATCGACGGAAAAATAATCCGCGTATCCTGCGAGTGTACATACACTTATTCGTGCGTGTGTGCGTACAGACGAAGTTGAAAATCGCACATCGGGAGTCACTGCTTTTGCCTCCTTTTTTTCCGATGGGAGGCGCGAATTCGTCGATCTCGCTCGCCGTGATCGCCGCTCCTACTGGCTTTTCGAAAAACATCGCGCGCCCCGTCTCATGTCTTGTTTTCTCCATCACATCGCTGAAATAGCACTCCGTCTGTAAAACGACTTGGCGACCGATCGCTTCGCGGGAAAAGGAGCAGGAACCGAGCAACGTCACGCCGCCCGTACAGATACGGATGACGACAACGACGGCGACGCGTCGCGACTGACAACGCATGTCCGACAATGCGCGACTCGGAGTCGCGAATGAACTGATACTCTGATCTTTGCGAAGACGACTCCGTTTGTAGACACGATCGCGCCACGTGGTAATCGCGCACGTGTCGCTAGACTGCTGCACGTAGCGCATGCCGGTGTTCGCGCTTCGAAGGTGCGATTGATCGGAGTGGACGATCGTCGTCTCGCACGACGCGACGCGACGTGACGCACGTGCATACAGTGATCGCTCTCAATTGACACGCACCCGCGCGAGCGTGCGTTCTCTGTGTGTGTGTGTGTGTGTGTGTATGTGTGTGGTTGTGTGTGTGTGTGTGTATATATATATATACACATACGCACGTGTCTGTGATCGATCCGCCTGCCGCCGCGCCGATTTACATATGGTGTTTCGCAGGATACCGCACGTGATACGCAACCACAAACCGACCGAGGATTATCCAGAACGTCAGGATTAAAGACCGCTCCGTCATCGTGTCGAGTCATGGAGTTGGGTGACAGGGTTTACGCCGCGGAGCGGATCACGAAAAAGAGGGAAAAGCGGGTTAGTATCGTGCGCGGCCGCCTCCAGATGGCGCTACCAGGCGGAATCCGTCCGCGCGCCGTTACCGCCCCCTCTATCTCTCCCTTCTCCTACCTCGCGCCTCTTGTCTCTTGTTTTTTCTTCGTTCTCTCTTTCGCTGACAGCCGGCTTCGCGCGGCTGCCGCTTCTTCCACGACACTAAACGCTTTTATGACTCGCGATATCAGACATTACGTGCCGACAGATACAGGTCTCCTGTTACCTAGTTACACAATGTCATTCACGTTTTGTACTTTTATCATATTGCCGAGAGCACGCTTGAAGATTGATTGTCACTGATCGATCCACCGGTTTTGCCATCGTGAAATTATCGATTCGCTCCCGTTAACGAAACTGCGACTCCACGCTCCGTTACGTTACGACACGTTGACAGGAGGAATAATAACGGCTTGTCTCTATCTCGTTCTCCGTTATTTTAAACGTGAAAGCTGCGAGAAAGAGAGAGGAAGCAAAAAGTAAATATCAATTTAATACGAGAAGCACCAATTACGGTCATTACGGTTACATATTAGACATTAATACATATATATTTTAAATAAATTTATCTCAAAAACATGCGTTCCGATTACTTTCAGACTTTCAACATAATTAATTTGAAATACTCTCCAAACAAACCAACCCTCCAAATTTAATTTGATATTGATTTGATGCTCCTAACAACTCCGATAATCATTTTTCTTATTTTCATCATATGTTTAATAATTAAAAGCATAATTGGATATACATGTAGGCTCTAATACTCATCTCCATCAATGGCTGCGTTCAGTATAATAATATAATTGATCTTGTCTTTAGTTCCTTACTGGATCTAAATCAATTATATTAAAGAATCTTATAACAGTTACTTTTTCTCCTGAACGTAGATTGAACTTTAACCTCGATTCAACTTAAGGTTTATTATAGAGATTAAATCGAAATTAAAATTAATCTATATTGGTGAAAATGAACACAAATCGATTACGTTTAATAAATAATCGCTCGCATCCATTAAAGGCAATAGAAACAATCATGTAATCATGAACGATGTAGGAAGGAACTTTCATTTGTTTCACGCTTCATTGAAACAATATGATAATCTTAGTGAATATATGAATACGTTTGATTGCATTTTTCTTATTATCCTCTTAAAAGCAAATTGAGAAAGCTACTAGTAAAAGAAGATATCCCAACCACGCATTCTGACACCGACTATACAATTTCTGGATAACGGGAGTCTCCGGAGGCGGACAACGGTGGGTTCGCTGACGGATAGGAGAAAGGCTCCGTATGGCGATCAGCTGGTAGCAGCCGATGATGTATTTCTATGAAATGAAATGTGCGCCACAGAACGTAATGCCGCGAACGCAAAAATTATCTATAAAATTCTTTGCAAAATTTGCCTAAATTAGTTTTTTTTTCACGCCGTCTGGAAATCGCGAAGAAGGTAAACTGCTGGACATAAAGAATTAAGAACACACGAAATAATATAAACAATATAATATAAACAATGTGAAATTGTCTTATATCCGTGTCACATTACCCATTAGAGATTAAGAATTGCGAATTGAAGATTAGAATTCAGCCAATCAGAATAAATTAAAGTTATCTGAGTGATCGAATTCTAATCTTTATAATTTTCAATCCTCAATCTCCAATGCGTAGTGTGACGCGGGCATAGGGCCAGAATTAGACTACGCATTGAAGATTGAGAGTGAAGATTGAAATTTGATTAATCAAATTTCAATAATGATAGGAACTAAAATTCCTTTGTCCTTATTGGTCAAATTTCTTCTTCAATCTCAATCTTCAATCCGAATCTACAATATGATGTTTTAAACCTTAACATAAGAAATTGACTACGATCGAATGCGAAGAGAATAATCGATTGTGATTCGTCCATTCCTTATGGCTTAAGCCTTAAAAATCTATTGTATATCCGGGATAATCTGATTCTGATAATCTGACTCTTATGCCCATGTCACACTACGCATTAGAGATCGAGGATGGCGAATTAAAAATTGGAATTCAGCCAAATCAGAATAAAACAGATTAAAATTAAAATTATCTGATTAGTCGAATTCTAATTTTTAATTTGCAATCCTCAATCTTCCAATGCGTAATAGTGTGACACGGGCATTACTTCTTTATGGTTTTGTGGATTTGAGTAATCATTAGTGCTAGTCTTTCGCGTGACCATTCAAGCATTTGAATTACTGCACAATCAAAGTCGGCAAGCTATGTTTGCAGAATTTTATTTATTATTTTCATCAATTTCTCTAAATAAAGATTTTTTTAAATTTTTTTATTGCAGTACTGGACTGCACTAGAAATTTCATTTTTGCTTTCTCCAAATTTTAATTATATACCTATTTTAATGCAGTGGATATTCGTAGTTCAGTTATAAAAAAAAATTTTTTTATTTATTAAAATGAAATCAAATGAAAACGAGAAAACGCTGAATATTCATTTGTTTTGAATCGCAGAAAGTTAATTTAGCATCGAAACTGATAAACTACTTGGAGAAAAGATCCTACGATTTTTTATTCGGGTCGCATCCGCGAGATTTCCTTTCTTCCGATGCAATTTAAATCGCCCTGCGTCGTCTGTTCGTATCGAGGATCGCCGTTTCACCGTTCGGTTTTGAAAACTAAACAAATCGAACTCGTGAAATGACATGTAAAGCGTCATAAAGCGCATTTTCTCCCGCGAATTGATGACACGATTGTTATGTTATCGACACGTAACAATATCGGGTAACGGTGTCCTGCGAAGGGACGACAACCTGCTCCGTGTTATCATGTCGATCATGTCATCCGCCAGCTTCATTCGTAGGGTTTCATTCGTGCCGCGTTTCGCTACGTATCGCGCGTGTCATTGTTTTCCAACTGTCACGCCTGTGCATCGCGATGAGGCAGCGGCGTGCCGTTTCTGTTATTGGCCCATCGCCAATGGGTGAACTGCCCATCGAACATCGATGTAGCCGGTCGTGCTATCGACCGTGCTTTACGCCACGAGATGGTTTCGGAAAATTCACGCGTTTTCCAACCACTCAAGCGAGATCTCTCTCTCTCTCGCTCGCTTGCTCGCTCGCTTTTTTTCATATTTTTATTGGTTCTAGAAACGCGAGGATAGGATAGGGGAGATCAGAGGCTCGTTATCTCTGTGAAGTTGGCATCTCATGTTTCAAAAAATGAAATTTTCGTCACACAGTTCTGAATGTATCCCAAAGAGTTCTGGAGTTTCTACTCAAAATGAAAAATAGTTCTGGCAAATTAACATAAAAAATCGAAGTGTAAAAATTTAGAATGCCAACTTCACAAAACGCAAGACAAAAAAATCGTGATATCTTCTAAATTATCGGTCCTAGCTCCTAGCGCTTTGATGCTAATGACTTTTGATAGAACTCGTAGACTGCTATCCAGAACTGTCGACAGAATTGCCGGAACCAACGGTTTAAGAGATGAGCAATATTTCATATGTCAGATTGAAAAATTTCTAACATCTGAAAGAGGTGAAAATTTTGTAAAAGTTCTGGCAGTTCTGTCGACAATTCTAGGTAGCATCCCAAGAGTTTTAACGAAAGATAGGACCAACAATTTAAGAGATATGGCGATTTTTTGAAAGTCAGATTATTTAACACCTGCAGAGGGTTAAAAAATTTTTGAACGTTCCAGCAGTTCTGTCGACAGTTCTGAATAGCATCCCAAGAGTTCTATCAAAAGTTATTAGCAAAGCTAAGACCACGGAGTAAAAAGAAGGAGATCAAACTCAAGCGGCCGGCCACAAAAAAGTTGAGCTCGATTTCTGGTTTCGGAAAAGCGCTATACAGAAGAACAAATTCGAGCGCTCCTGTTGGAGAAAACTGTCTACTTAGAGGATTTGATAAATATTTTTCCTCCCATTTTTCTGTGATTCTGTACGTTTGTGTATTTTCATGCGTAGAATATATTCTGAGAAGGAAAGTTGTCGCTCAAGTTCCGTTTTATTTTTTTTCAATTTCAAAGTTTTTTGATGTCGATAAGTTAAAAAACGATAATTTAATAATAATTTATGATACTATGCATGCATGTATGTATTTTTCAATAAATATTAATGCATTTACTATTTAATCAAATAAAATGAAATTTTATACAAATTGGAATTTCTGCTTTTAAAAAAAATTTGCATACATGTGTACTCTATACGCGTTATCATGTGGTATGTACTTCCAATTTTTTCCGCAACGGCACTAAAATCGCATCATCCTGATTTTCTGCGATTTTGCATGTGTTTTCCGAAGCCATGTTTCGAGCCCACGTTTCATCCTCGAGTTGGTCTTCTTCTTTTTATTCCGTGGCTAGGACTAAATCCTATTCTACAATGTGCTCTTTGTTTCCTGTTTCTTGCTTTTTAGCTCTTGCTTTTTTCTCTCTTTGCAACCGTTTTATCGACAATTGCATTTCTTACTACATGTTTCCTGTTTCTTCCAAAATTCGTTAACTTTTATCTCGGGCAATATAAAACAAAAAACCGAATAAGAAGCAAAAAGACAAGATAAAGTAAAAAATAGCAAAAAGCACGAAACAAAAAATAAAAAGCACATTGTAGAATAGGCTTAATAGTTTAAAAGACATCGTTTTCTGTGTTTCGGACGGAAACTTCTTAGAACCAGTTGTTCCATTTTCAGATAAACTTATGTGATAATTTATCTGTCATTTATTAGAATTTAGATAAACAAAAGAGTAAGAGAATAAGATAGTGAAGTTTATCGAAAGGTAGAACAACCCAGCTTTAAGATGCTTCTACATAATTCGCAATTCGCAAAAGATAGTTCGCAAATGCAGAATGAAACTTTGCATTTGTTTTCTTCATTGTGTATAATCGATCAAAGAAAGATTGCAGCATTTCTTTTTCGATGAGTTTCGGAATGCAGCCTATTCACCGAGCGATTGGTTCTTATTTGTGGATCCATGAATAAGAAGAACCAATCGCTCGATGAGCAAGCTTTCCGAAACCTATCGAAAAAAAAGGTGTTGCAACTTTTTTGTGACCGGCTATGGTTGATCTCTATTTGTGTTTATCTTGCGTGCGGTGATTCTGCGTCAGCATTTGTGAACTACGTTTTGTGATTTGCGAATTAAATAAAGGCATCCTTAAGAATGCATTCGGAACTGTGACGAAAATTTCATTTTTTGAAACATAAGGTGCTAACTTCACTGAGACGAGTTTGTTGGCACTAGAGACAAGTTGGTACTACGTTCCGTTTATATATTTATGGCAAAAGAAATAATAAAAAAATTAATGGCTCTTTTATAATATAGATACTTTTCCTAAAGTTTTGTTTAAATCAAACAAGTATTACAATTAAAAGAGGAAAAGATCTTTTTCGGGCGATTCAATATTTATATATAGAGTAATACTCTTTAGCTTGAGATAGTCGATCTAAGTGATGTTATTAGTTAAATTTATTGCACGTAAAAATATTAATCGTAAGATCATAAAAAACGATAAATTGATAATCTACGAGGCAAGCGGTAAGTCACATGACTGTCTTTCGATTGATAGTCATAAGGATAAGAGTTAATCGCAATCTTTCGACGGGTCGAAAACTTGCGTCTATTATCATGGCTTTGAGGTTATGACGTTTCACTTGTGTTGCTTCTGCGTAAAGGACACGATTATGCTTGGCCCCAACGCAGCCAATCAATTTATCGCTTTTTATGATCTTACGATTACGACTTTTACGTGCAATGGCGTTTAAAAGGAAAGTTTCTGTTACTATATGACATGTTGTTATTTTAAATAATGACAATTTGTTATAATAAAACGATTAAAATTAAATGTATGTGGAGATGGAATATACGTTAACTTATATTTAACGCAAGTTGGCGTAAGCTTAGTTTGATGTGTTGTTGTTGCCGCTTGTAAAAATTGTTATTAATGTAAAATTTTAGTATTGAAGCATGAAAATGTTCACATTTCTTTCTAATTTTCAAACGAGAAAATTTGAAGATGGATTTTTCTGATTCGTGGAATTCAGTGAAACGTGTCTTCTCATAATTAAAATATATATCATCTTAGAAAACAAAATTGAACTTAATCTAAAATTAATAAATAAAGACAAAATTAACATTAAGATTGAAATTTATCCTTTTTTTTTTATCCTTTTTTTATCCTTTTTTTATCCTTTTTCTAATAATCAACATTTGTAACACATAAATTTCCATGCAAATCGGAGCATATTCCAAGGTATGAGATTCCTGTCTGAATATTCACATATATGTATACATTTATTATAAATGATTATTTGAGAAACAATTCAAACAATTATTATCAATTATCAATTATTATTGTTACTCGTCAAACATTGATGTCAAACTATGTGAAATATCATCTCTAGTTAGTTGTTGCGAAATAGTACAATTTCTGTTGAAGTTTCTCGAATAACCGCAATAGTTACACGAATATTTAGACAGGAAACATTCTGCTGTCCTCGATATGCGAGCGAATTCATATGCTAAGCAATTATAACTACATTTACTCTATACTCTCTAAATTCTTTGGAATGGAATCTCATTTTAAAGAGTGATAATTGAGTCTCGAAAAAGAGTTGCTCAATTTTCAATCTTAAGAATAAGATTTTATTCTTCAAAGTAATTTATTCTAAATGTTTTAAAATACGTTTATTAAAAATTCAGTAATCTTTAAACTGAATTGATTCAATTTTTTCACTGTTTCTTTCTTAACGATCGGTTCTTATATAATAATTTCTTTTTTATATTTTTATCTCGTTAGATCCATCGATCTCAGAATATAAATAAATGTGCATTCTATTCGTTTATCTCAACTTGGTAAGGGTCGACAGGAGTGACAAGCTTATTTACACCTCATTTGTGGTGCAGCTATATATCTGTATTCTATCAGACTTTACCATATACTGTCTGGTAAAAGTAATATTTTGCCATGAAAACTCGTTTTAGCTTATATTTTACAAAGCTACGAAGCCTATTAAAGAATAAAATGCAATTTCATTCTTAAAAACATTTTAATAAATAAAATGGTATGCTCCTTATTTACGGCAGATACATGTTTTTATGCTGATATTTTATCTTCAAGAAGTAATATCATAAAATCTTCTTGATTTCTTTTTTTGAAGCTGCGAAGGCGCATACAGAGTCGATTTTGCAAATTAATTCTTGAAAATTTTTTAATAATAAAATTATGTACATGCATCTGCGCTATAGTGTACATTGAGATATCAGAACAAATTTTTATTTTGCCTTTCTTTCAAAAAAAATCATTCTGTACAAACCTTCAGGAGTTTTCTGATTACAAATATTTCAATTAACGCGATTCATCCAGAATTTGGGCCATTTCAGCATAAAGAAATTCATTTTTAACTAGAAATTTCCATAGTCTCTCCTGTCGACCCTTAACTCATTGATTAACGGCGAATCGAACTTCCACGCTCAATTTAATCTGTCTGACAATTGACAAAACATGTGAAGGATCTTATGAGACAATTCGTAACTCATCTCCCGTTATTAATTATCGTTTGGCCTATAATTACGTGCGCTGATAAGCGAATCGGTTCTTATCAATGGGTAGATCTTATCGGCGTATGATCTGTCCGACATGCGCACGGTGCGCAACACGTGCACGCAATGGCATAATTCTGACGTTGATGCGTAACTGGTAGAGCCTAATTATGGATAATTGTGAAAATGATTAATGCGTCAATTATGCATTAATAGCAAATGCATGAGGAAAACAATGTTATAGAGATCGATGTTGAATCGTCGCATCACGAAACAAAATGTTTACTATATCTTTGTAAAAAAAAAATGTAAATGTTATCCAAATTTCTTTTTTATTTCCATAATTGAAGATACAAAAGTTTTTTTCTTTTTCCATATCGCTATTTTATACTTATTAATATCTTACACATATACCTACGTTTCTCATTGCGTTTTTAGAAATATAATTTCATTGCTATTCTTTTGGATAGATAGATATCCACGTGGTAACGTTGCGATAATTGAGAATAATGAAATGACAACTCGCGTACGCTGCTTCACGTGTCGCTCACGTTGACGCTCGTATTTACCGTCAATGTAATTGTATTAAACGATTCAATAATTTCTCTTTATTCTCTTATATTTCGGTCTGAATAAAAATTCGCGAATTTTTACGAGTCTGCAGCTTAATTTCTCGTTCATTAAAACACGTATTGTTAAAAACTATGATTGACAACCCTGTAAAATTGATAATCCTTTTCTTCTTTTTAGGGCAAGATCGAGTACTTTGTCAAATGGAAAGGATGGAGCAAAAAGTGAGTACGAAATCGAAAGTCTGTAATTAAGTGAATGACGTTCGTAACTCTGAGATGTAATTTCTCTTGTATTTTAGATACAACACGTGGGAGCCGGAAGAAAATATTTTGGACATCAGATTAATCGAATTGTATGAGGAAAGCCAAAAAGGTGCAGATGTAGTACCCACCAGAAGGCCAAGGCGAAGGGATACTAGATACAGCGTAAGAATATATTTTTCGTAATAAATACTTTTCTATTTCAAATAAATGACTTTAATAATCGCGTTAAAATTGAGCAAAGTGCCATAATTAAATCAAACAATACAGTTTTATTTAAAATAAATAATATTTTCTTATACATCTGTAATCTGTAGTCCATCATTTGTAGTAGATCACTTTACTCGTTATAAATTAAATTGAGTATTAGTTTAATAAAAATTCCATTTTTAGATATATATATATATA